TCTCTCTCTCTCTCTCTCTCTCTCTCTCTCTCTCTCTCTCTCTCTCTCTCTCTGTGACACACACACAGCCGTGAAGGCATACAGGGATGTGGGCAGCTGCCACTCAACCACAATCAACGTGGGCAGCCTTGTGCGTAAGAGACACAGTAAAAGGGGGGCTGCAAGAACAATGAAAGGGGTACCCCAAGGACAACCAAAAAACTGTCTAATTACAAAATTGCTTTAATATGTTGGACATCTCAAATGCTCTCATTGTCTGCAATAGGACAAAGACTGCTGTGATTCTGAATCTATTCATCTGGGTGGAATTGGGGCTGTTGTGGGRAAAATCTAAAACACACACACACACACACTCACACATGTTTTATTGGTCTGCGTGATTTTTCTGTTGATGGCGATTGACCCTGGTATTCGTGATCAGCATTTGGGCGCAGTTCTTGTCGCTGCTTGTGTGACACAAAGTCGGATCCTGGACAAATTTGGGCCGACTTGACACATTGATCGTTATCATGTGTGTTGTTGGTCTTTAGATTGATCTGTTCATGGCAATTGATTTGAAGTTGGTTTTCAGATTGGTCTACTGAACGAAGCGCTGTTTCTTTTTCAATTTTGTTTGTCCATAGCAGTATTGCGTCTGTCAGGGGTTGAACTTGTGCTCTGTTTATCAACAGCAGCTAGGTCTTTGTAAAGTTTGTACCATTCAGCCACAACAAGGCTGGGTGCACAGCCGTTAGGCGGGGTTCTTGTTGCCACCACTTGTATGCGGGGAAATTCAGTTGGACAGTTAGGAGCAGTCTAGGACCTGACGGTTTGTCTATATTTGTGTTGTTGTTGCTCAGATTGTGCTGTTGACGACAATCGATCCAGACCGAGCAGTCGGCATTCTTGTTCAACATTTGGACGAGGTTCCTGTGGCCGTTGTCGTGACCCAACTTCGGAGTGCCACGCCCGTGGGCAAATTCAGGCCGATGTTGCACAAGTACTTGCACGCGGTGTTTGAGAAGGATTCCACTGCGGCAACTGAATTCCATGGCCTTCAGGTAAAACTTGTAGATGCATTGCGTTTTTAACTTTTTATAACTTTTTTAAGTTTCGTCAACTTTTATCGAGTTTTATGATTATTTGCGTCAAAGACTAGGCTACCTGAGTGGGCCAGGCATCCACCTTCCTGGCCCCCTGGGTCAACTGGGCAAAAGCCAAAAAGTGATACTGCAAAAAAAAAAAATTTAAAAATTAAAAAAATCATCATGGGACATTCTTGCGGCCACTGAACTGTTGCCTATATCCAGCCTTATGTTTGAATTTGATGATGTCTCAGGGACTCTCACCATAGGGGGTCTATGGCATATAGACGCGGTTTAATTAGCTTGAAAGGGGGGGCTTAAACCACCAGTACACGGCCCCAGCCTTGTAGAAAATTGCGAGTTGCCGACCCCGAAATTTTCGCAGCTCGGCGCTACCAGACCACAATGGCTGGCGGCGCCAGCCAAAAAAGAAAGAAAAAGGCACTACTGGCAGTTTGGAAAAGCTTGGCGCACAGTGCAGCACCTCCAGACCTGGGTGTACTGGGGGCTTAAAGGGGGTGGAATTGTGTAGAGGTGATTTTTTTTATGCTTAGTTCTTTGAACGTCTTTCCTTCAAGGGTGCTTTGTTAGACCTGGTCATCACTGGTGAAGGTTGTAGTATAGACACTAGAGTAGCTAGAGTCACTAGATCCAAAATAATTGCCTAGGCTGGACCACACAATCTGGCGTCGTTTGGGCCTTTCCGTTCCCACATTTTGGAAATACAAAATGTGGAAATGCAAAATGTTACATGTATGCCTTACGACCAACAGATGAGGGAGCTGTTGATATAGTCGTCGTCATTTCTCAAGACACAGAATTGGAATGATAGGACCCCCTCTGGTCAACGGAGAATTGTGGCTGGCTGAAAACGCAGCGGTGCAAACCTACCGAGTGCGGGATTATGACTGAACGCCTCTTAAGTCACAATCTGTGCTTGCAGCGATGGCAACGGGGGAAAAAAAAAAAAAGGACAGAGTGGCGTATGCTTGCTATGTGATATCCTTTGCGGTCTTCCAGACCCGATGTGAAATTGTCCCTATGAGTTGGAGACGCAAAATGTGTGTTTTATCAACTTTTATGACTGATTAATAATAGTGATTAATAATAATGAGTATCCATCATACGAGACTCGCAAAGTGGAGTTGCCTTCCCCTAGGTGTGCCCTCTACTCTCTAGCAAACTCACGATCGATGTTGGTGTGCCTTCACAAAGCTGAGCGGCCATCCAGGCTACCAGAGTGGCCCGGAACCACTTGCCCCGCCAGGCAAGTGGCAATTAGAAATTCAAAAAATATATATATATATATATATTTAAATTTGGTAAAGAATTTCGATGTGACCCTGAGGCAACAGTTGTTCAGTTTATTTTTCTGCATAGCATTTTTTTTCAGTTTTTTTTTTTTTTTTTTTTTTTTTTTTTTTTTTTTTTTTTGCGGGGACCCCTTGTTCGGTACGTGCACAGCGGGCCCAGATGGTAGCCTAGGAGCCTGCCATCCAATTCTTGGTGTCATTGCTTACTTGATCAGACGATCTATTGTTGAGGATGTTTAGTTGGGGATCTGGCTCTCTCATTTTCATTAAGAACAGACAGATATATTCTTGATCAGACGATCTATTGTTAATCAGACGATCTATTGTTGATCAGACAATCAGACGATCAGACGATCTATTGTTGACGATCTCTCTCTCGTTTTTATTAAGAACAGACAGATCGACCTGCGATTGCACCTGCAATTCACGGAGGACTAGGAACCAGCAGTAGGGTGCACATGACATGCCAGTAGTTGTGCTTTGCAGGTGTGATCATCATGTTTGAGTACCAATCACACTAGGTGCTGCGTGATTGTTTTTTCGTGTGGAATGTTGTCACGTCAGGAATTTTTGCATCGTACTTATCTTTTTGCTAAATGGCATTGTATTGTGATTCTGCCGCAGGTTGAGCTGTATGCGGACTATGATCGGCGATTTCTCCTTCCGCTGTTGCGGTCAAGTCAACACTACGACCTGGGAAAGGTGTGACAGAGCTTGTCGCTTTCTCATCCAGTCTCTCTCTAGCTTGGCAGCTGCGCTTGAAAGTGGTCTGCACAGACTCTGCAGCTTGTTGTCTTGAGGCTTGACAGAATGCTGATATGACCTGTTTCACGCTCGAGTTTCACCCCGGAAGTTTGGATTTATTTGCGTTATTGAGTACACTGTGGCTAGGTGCTGTAGTATGTTTGATTTAACAAATTAGAAAATAATACGAAATATTAAAATAAACATACTATTTAGCAACCATTTCTTTCCTCTCTCCTGTGTGTATCGTCCCTTGCTTTGTCTTTCTCTGCACGGACTATTTGACGATTACCTTCATTTTGGCCGGCAATCGACATGCCATTTGTTGGGGGTGTATGGTGGGCATGCTCAATGCCAGCCGTCGTGGCAATTGTTGCACTGAGAATGCTCAGCTAGGTCTTCCATGTGTTCATCCACCTCAT